AGAGTATGATCTTTCATTCCCGAAAAACTTCAGGAAAATCCTGGAACATTGGGAACCACTTTTCCAAGGGTTGCAGAAAAGAACAATCTTAGGAGATAATTCACCAACCTATCGTATTTTGAAGTTCTACACTACCCTTTTCATTGTTAATAATACTTCCAAGTTTTGCAATGTGCAAATTTTGAAACTGTCCCTTGTATACCAAGGACAAAGTTATTAATATTTCAGAGGAAGAACGAGGGTCCTAACACAGATCCCTGGGAATCTCCACAATAAACATTCTTCCAGGCAAAAAAAAACAACTTTCACCACCACTGTTGCCAGTGCCTCAGACAATTTTAAAGAACACGGGACTTCAAAAGCAGGAATAGCTCATTTGGCCCTTCGAACCTACTTCATTACTCATTAACGTTATGGATAACCTGGTTGTGATCTCATATCCACTTTCTGGTTACACCTGAACACTAGACTTCCTTGTCTATCAAAAAATCCAGCTTGGTCTTTAAAGTTATTTCCACTGCTTTCTGGGAAAGAGAATTCCAGATGCTAATGAAACTCCAGGTGCCGGAGAATCTGAGATAAAAGGTTTGAGCTGGATGAACACAGCAGGCCAAACAGCATCAGAGGAGCAGGAAGGCTGACGTTTCAGGCCTAGACCCTTCTTCAGAAATGGGGGAGGGGAAGGGGGATCTGAAATAAATCGGGAGAGAGGGGGAGGCGGATAGAAGATGGATAGAGGAGAAGATAGGTGGAGAGGAAACAGGTCGAAGAGGCGGGGTTGGAGCCAGTAAAGGTGAGTGTAGGTGGGGAGTTAGGGAGGGGATAGGTCAGTCCAGGGAGGACAGACAGGTCAAGGGGGCGGGATGAGGTTAGTAGGTAGGAGATGGGGGTGCGGCTTGAGGTGGGAGAAGGGGATAGGTGGGAGGAAGAACAGGTTATGGAGGCAGGGACCAGCTGGGCTGGTTTTGGGATGCAGTAGGGGGAGGGGAGATTTTGAAGCTTGTGAAATCCACATTGATACCATTGGGCTGCAGGGTTCCCAAGCGGAATACAAGTTGCTGTTCCTGCAACCTTCGGGTGGCATCGTTGTGGCACTGCAGGAGGCCCAGGATGGACATGTCGTCTGAGGAATGGGAGGGGGAGTTGAAATGGTTCGCGACTGAGAGGTGCAGTTGTTTAGTGCGAACCGAACGTAGGTGTTCTGCAAAGCGGTCCCCAAGCCTCCACTTGGTTTCCCTGATGTAGAGGAGGCCACAACGGGAACAGCAGATGCAGTATACCACATTAGCAGATGTGCAGGTGAACATCTGTTTGATGTGGAAAGTCTTCTTGGGGCCTGGGATGGGGGTGAGGGGGGAGGTATGGGGGCAGGTGTAGCACTTCCTGCGGTTGCAGGGAAAAGTGCTGGGTGAGGTGGGACTGGAGGGGAGTGTGGAGCGGACAAGGGAGTCACGGAGAGAGAGTGGTCCCTCCGGAAAGCAGATAAGGGTGGGGAGGGAAAAAATGTCCTTGGTGGTGGGGTCGGATTGCAGATGGCGGAAGTATTGGAGGATGATGCGTTGGATCCGGAGGTTGGTGGGGTGGTACGTGAGGACGAGGGGGATTCTGTTTTCGTTGTTATTGCAGGGAGGGGGTGTGAGGGATGAGTTGTGGGAAATGCGGGAGACACAGTCGAGGGCGTTCTCGACCACTGAGTGGCGGGGGGGGGGGGGTGCAGGAGTTGCAGTCCTTGAAAAACGAGGACATCTGAGATGTACGGGAGTGGAATGCCTCATCCTGGGAGCAGATGCGGCGGAGGCGAAGAATTTGGGAATAGGGGATGGCATTTTTGCAGAAAGGTGGGTGGGAGGAAGTGTATTCTAGGTAGGTGTGGGAGTCAGTGGGCTTGAAATGGATATCGGTTTCTAGGTGGTTGCCGGAGATGGAGACAGAGAGGTCCAGGAAGGGGAGAGAGGTATTAGAGATGGTCCAGGTAAACTTAAGGTTGGGGTGGAAGGTGTTGGTGAAGTGGGTGAACTGTTCGAGCTCCTTGTGGGTGCACGAGGCGGTGCCGATACAGTCATCAATGTAACGGAGGAAGAGGTGGGGGATAGGGCCAGTGTAGGTACAGAAGAGGGATTGTTCCACGTAACCTACAAAGAGGCAGGCATAGCTTGGGCCCATGTAGGTACCCATGGCCACCCCCTTTGTCTGTAGGAAGTGGGAGGAATTGAAAGAGTTGTTGTTGAGGGCGAGAATGAGGTCGGCTAAGCGGATGAGGGTGTCAGCGGAGGGGGACTGGTTGGGCCTGCGGGACAGGAAGAAGCGGAGGGCCTTTAGGCCATCTGTATGGGGAATGCAGGTGTATAGGGACTGGACATCCATGGTAAAGATGAGGTGTTGGGGACCAGGGAATTGGAAGTTCTGGAGGAGGTGGAGGGCGTGGGTGGTGTCACGGACGTAGGTAGGGAGTTCCTGGACCAAGGGGGAGAAAATGGAGTCCAGATAGGTGGAGATAAGTTCGGTGGGGCAGGAGCAGGCAGAGACAATGGGTCCACCAGGACAGTCAGGTTTGTGGATTTTGGGAAGGAGATAGAAGCAGGCGGTGCGGGGTTGGGGAACGATGAGGTTGGAGGCTGTGGGTGGGAGTTCACCTGAAGTGATGAAGTTGTGGATGGTTTGAGAGATGATGGTTTAGTGGTCGGGAGTGGGGTCATGATCAAGGGGGCGGTAGGTGGTGGTGTCGGAGAGTTGGCGTCCGGCCTCAGCTAACCCTCTATAAAAAATTTCATCATGGGTTTCTAAGAAGAGAGTTCTTACTCTTAAACAACACCCCCTTAGTTTTAGTCTCCTCTATAAGTGGAAACATTCCCAGGTAGCCACCTATCCAGTCACCTCTGATTCTTCTAAATGTCAATAGATATAGACCTAACCTGTTTTAAGTTTTTTTTCATAAGCCCATCAACCCAAGAATGAATCAAATGTACCTTCTCTGAATTGCTTCTAAATTACACATTTTTTCCAAATATGGACAACCAAACTGTTCACAGTACTTCCGATGTTGTCTCACCAACACTCTGCATAGCTGCAGTAAAATGTTCTATTTAATTCCATTCCTCAGCAACAATCAACATCATTCCAGTTACCACTTGCTTGCTGTACCTGCATACTAACTGATTCATGTACCAGCTCACTCAGATCTCTCTGAGTTCAGCAAAAGTAAATGATCAAACAGTACATTGGTGTGGTCAGACCACACCAGAGTATAACATTTGAAAAGAATTGTCCAAAGTATTGGAGACAAAGCGTAAATGAACCATGAGGCTGATCCCTAGTAAGGGAAATGTGAAGTCTGAGGGAATACTGGAATTTTGTTTTCAGCTGGAAAGGCACGAACCCAAGTGGTAATCTGAAAGAGTCAACTGAAATAGTTATATAAAAGAAAAAGTGAATCAAATAGATCATTGGCATACCAGTTCAAATTACTAAATGTAAATTAAGATTTAATCAGCAGATTCTTCAAATCAAGTTTATGGAATGAATGAATTTATAGATGAAGATAGGATCAAATGGATTTCAACATCTATAATTATGTTGTTCTGTCAAAGTGCACATAATTCTATTATATCAGAACTTACACTTAATACGGTTAAAGCACCCAAGGCATTGCAAAGGAGCATCAGACAAAAAAAAATCCAGAGATATTGAGACACAACTAAACACCTACTCAAAAGAGGAGGGGAGAGATGAGGGTTTTAGGGAGGGAATTCTCAGCTTGATGAGCTTAGGTTGCTATTGGTATTCACCAATGGTGATGTTATTAAAAACTCGGATGCACAGGAGGGCAGAATTAGAGTATAGCAAAGATGCTGGGTTCTTGCAAAGCTGGAAGTGGTTAGGAAATAAGTATTTGAATCAAATTATGAAATTTTGACAATACAGACAGTAAAGTGAAGAGATTTAAAATGAAAGCTTCTCTCTAGTCTGTTGAAATATTGACTAGGAAGGAAAGAACCATACAAACAGGAACTTGCAGCTTATAGTGTGCAAGTAGCCAATATTGCAGAGAAATATATAAAAATTTTCATAGTCCAGACACACTGATTTTAAATGAAAACTTTTGCCTAATTTTCCCAATGAATGAAATCCAGGAATAAATAACTCAGGACAACACCTACCATCATAATCCGTCATGCTCAAATAAATAGGTAAGCTCCTCTTCAGGGTGTAATATTAAAATTTAATCATACTGCACTCTTCACCCTGTGACACGTTAATAAAGCAAGGAGATAAAACACTCCTTATGGTCAATGGATACCATCCTGTCTAGACATCAGAACCTGGTATGAGTGTTGGCATGAAGAAGTTAATCTGTCAATGGAGCAGTGATTTATGTGGATCATACAAAATAACTAAGGACCTGACATGTATCCAGTGACTCCTGCTGGAAAACCTTTGTTCAAAATCCAAAGGTAGGCTGGGCTCAACTACAATATCTCCTCACAGTTGAGCAAAATATCTTCAGTTCATTGTGCAGACTATTATACGTAGTCACCTGATTAAGGTATTGGTACGTGTTGACTTGGCATTATAAATAAAGAATGACTAACTTTTTAGGAAGATGAATGGAAAATATTGCAAGAAAGAGATACTGAAGATTTATATTCTAGACAGACTATTGTGATTATCAATGTGTATTGTTCCACCATAAATTATTCAAAGGATTTCAGATAAGAATAAATATGAATGTTGATAATGGCCAAGGATTCAGTTTTCTTTCTGAGCAGGAGGTGGGCAGAGGAAATAGAGTTAAATTGGATACTCAGCAAATATTTAAATTATTCAGGCTCAAGAGTTTGTAAAATGGGAAGACATTAAGCAAGGGTTTGGGAGAATCCAGGGAGCGCAACTCCATAATACACCAATGATTTACAGACAAATCCTAGATCAAACGATCTTCAGGGATGACGTGCACTCTACATATGAAGTCGACAGCAAGAAAACAACTTCACTTTACTGCATGCCGCTTGCAAAAATCTTTATTGCAAATTTCCTAACGAGACCTATCAATTTTCAACAGTTCCATTTTATAAGTTTCCCAATTACAAAACACTATATCCAGATGTTTTGTTCATTCCAACACAAAACTAGATTATCACAAATGTTTGTGGTCCGTGGTAAGCATATGCAAACCTGTCAAGAGAAGTTTTCTCTCAGTGAAGTTTTCTCTGTCAGTGTAACTAATTGTGTACATGCCAAATGTCACACTGCTACAAATATAAGTATTGCTATGTACTAGCGGTACAGCCACAGCCAGCAGAAAATCAAAATGGCCCACTGTGAAACTATCACCATCTCTCTTCACATGCATTATTCATGCGTCACGTTGGTGTCATCATACACAGTTTTCAGCTTTAGTACAAGATCTTACGTATGATTTGACAGCAATGTATGTGGACCTGTACTGGTTTACAATTGTTCTGGGGAGCTCCAAAGGGACAGGAAAATAGATTGGTAAGTTGACACCATATCAGTCTACCCTGCTTGAGAGTTTCCTCAACAGGATATTTTAACCAAGCATAACAAACTTATAGCAGAAGTGTCTCTTCCTCATCTGCAAGGTCCAAGAGTTTTCGAAATAAAACTTCACTTAAGCCTGCAATGAACTTACCACTAATCTTTCTCTTGTGCAATCTGTCAGTTACTAATTTAGCCAATTTAGACAGTGGGAGGGGAACCTTCAGTAAAATTTCTTTTAAAAACTCAAAAAAAATTCAATCTTCCAACTTGGTGTCATACTTGACTTATCCAAAAACTATAGGGCAAAAATATAAAAAAAAACCAAGTTTTTTCCATATACAACTTAACTGAATTTAATTTAGTTATAAACCATGTCCTACCCAATGTGGGAATTCTGGCATTTTGGAGTCTTATTCACAGAGAAAAAAAATAAAAAATGGTCGTCATACACAGTAAAGCATGTTATAATCACCAATTTTCAGGAATTGAAGTAATAGAATTAAATTATTCTCTCAGAAGACTGTAAATAGATAAGGCAGTAGTTAACACTCCTAGCAGTTTCAAAAGGAATACATTAGCACATTTATGGTGGTTGATGACCGCGGAATGACATTCTGTGAAGGTACTATTTCTTCATAACAATTTGGGACCACAGGGCAAAAGCCTAGAAAATGGCTCATCTGTGTCCAAACCCAGTTCATTACAGTCTGCTGTAAAAAAAAAAGGAAAAAGGGAAACAAGGACCAGGATTATTTTAATTCTCTTCAGTTTTTTCACTGGTCACTTCTTTCTTCTTGGATTCTTCCTCTTTGGCGGATTCTTTTTTATCCTCCTTAACGGATAGTTCCTCTAGCTTTTCAGCAACCTTATCTGCACTTTCATTGTCACCTGATAGAAAACAGATAAGGAAATGAGTGGAAGGGTTTCATGAATAAATTCTATTTAAAAGAAAATGGGAGATCTCCTGGCACCCTGACTAACAACGGATCCTCAGCTAAAACAAATAAAACTGATTATGTGGCCAATTATCTCATCTCTCGACATGGGGCCTTGTGTGTAAATTAGCTATCATATTTTCCTCTAATACAGTGACTGTACTTGAAAACTAAATTTTGGCACGGTGATTGTCACTGGAGTAACAATCAGGGCTGAGAGTTCAAAGCCCACCAAGTTGGAGAAATTTAGAATTATTTAATTAAATAAACGTGGAACAAACAGTATCAGTAAATGGTAACTAGCAACTAGTGAATTGTCATTAACAACCCAGCTGGTTCATTAACATTCAGGAATGGAAACCTGTTGTCTTCACTTGAACTGCCCTACAAGTAGCATCAGACCCACATGCGATATGGTTGAGTGCCCTGTGAAATAAACTAGGCAAACCGTTCAGTTGTATTAAACCTATTGTAAAACAGCTATAATTCTGACAGGCTTTCTGACATTTTAAGGAGGTATTCACCAACACCGATTGTTTAATAGCAATTAAGAGTATGGGTGGCTCAGTGGTTAGCACTGCTGCCTCAGAGTGCCAGGGACCTGGGTTCCATTCCACCTTCAAGCAACCGTCTGTGTGGAGTTTGCAGATCCTCCTAGTGTCTGTGTAGGTTGCCACAGGGTGCTCTGGTTTCCTCCTACAGTCCAAAGATGCGTAGGTTAGGTGGACTGGCCATACTAAATCGCCCCTATTGTCTAGGGATGCACAGGGGAGGTGAATTAACCATGGGAAATGCAGGGTTACAGGGGTGGGATGCTCTTCAGTAGTTTGGCATGGACTTGATAGGCTGAATAGCTTGCTTCCACACTGTAGGGATTCTAAGATTCCATCACGATGGGCAATAATGCTGGCCTAGCTAGTGGTGATGTTCACATCCTATAAACACACTAAAACAAAAACTGGCTATAAAATGCTTTCGGATATTTTGAGGACATGAGAGATATTCTTATAAAAACAAGTTTTTTTGTTTAACTCAAAGACACATCAGCAATTAAAGCAAATAGTTGATTAAAACTAACATGCAGAAAGGATCCCAAATTTCAAAGTTGGTCTCCACATTTTCTCTAGATCAAACTCTCCTTAACCTCAAGTCTAGTGGAATGCAAGGTGAGGAAAG